AATAACTGGTTTTCATAAAGCGTAATATCCAAAACAACATTTCTCAATAAGCTTTACAAAACGAATTAATCCTCCACAGACAATCAAACAAAATATGGAAAAAGATAATAATGATTTAGAAATTTAGATCCCTCACCTCCACAGAAAAGGAATTCTCCCATCATATATCCCCCCCCCCCCCTCTCATCGGGCTCTCATCATTAATTTTTCAAGGTCGAGGAATAGATTTAAAACTAATACCTATTCTTTTTCCACTCAAAGATGTATGATAATGATAAGAATAACACGAATAAAGAGTTGTGATAACTCCTTGGTAAGAAAAACTACTCCTAATATGATTTGGGGTGTCCATGAGTGTTATATCTTGGACGATTCAAATCGACCAATGCAATTTTACCCAGTGAAATTACATTATAATGTCAGTCTGGCTGCGATTTCTATTTCTAGCAGAGTCAATTAACTGGATCCATACGATTGTACACGGCAATAACCTTGGGATTCATAAATGACTTCTTTTTAGGATCGACCGTAATATGTTTCGATGCCAAAAATGACTTCATTTCGCAGTGCCTTTATTGGATGCACTATCTAGCGTCGATAGACCTGAATTTGTACGCGACGCACGTGATAGTGCATGACAATGGTATCCCCTTTTTGTCTTAAATTCTACGCGAGTTTTTTTTTCTCGAGATTTATAAAAAAAATCCTTCTTGTATTGTTTCGCCGAAAAATCTGTTTCAAAATGTTTTTATAATACATGTACATTTTAATTTTTTATGTGCTGTCTATTGTATAAGCATTTTGGTTATTTTGTGTCTTGCTTTTGTTCGTCTATTGTTTGACCAATTTCTTTAAATTCCTGTTTCACTTTGTTTTTACGTGTGACTGATAAAATTGATAAATGAAGAACAAAAAGTCACTTAAAGGTATTACAAAGTTTTGGTATGGGGGGGTCATGAATTTGGTTCAAATTAACATATTTGAAGCATATGCGATCCTACAATATTCATTGATCGTTGTCGCGGTTGAGATCGAGTCTAAAGTTATGAAATTGTATATAATGATCTCTTGATGTTGTATAGCTCCCTCTCAAGGTCAAGATATTAATTTAGCTATGAAACAATGTTTCTTGACTAAAATCGACCGATTAGCTAATCCCGTTTGTAAATTATATATCACAACTACATATTCTGAGATTTTCATGGTCGCAGCTACCATTGCACGGCAATAGGCGCTATTTGAAATTTATCAAAATTTTCCGGGAGCACCGGTAAATTTTTATATTCAATTTTTCTCAAAAAAAGAAGTGTTTTAGGGGCTAATTTTTTTAGTGCTTATAATACATCCACAGGGGCATCAAAATATATCAAAATTGTAAAGATTCACTATCCACCCAATTTTCAAAATTTCCCAAAACTTTGTATTACCTTTAATGAACAATGGCGTCAATTCGTGAGGAATTGGTGTCATGGGGGACCAATTATCTAGGTTACAAGACAACTGAAGGTGGATAAAATGCGATAGAGCAATTAATATGTTTGTCTTCTTCGTTAACTTTATTTTCTCTCTTTATAGTTTTCCATATTTTCACGCTTTTATTATAGATAACCCCCATGTACCGTTGTTATCTAACTGTTACTAAACGCATTTTATATTACGCAAATTAAAAGCTGTGATCTTGATCTGTTAATTTCGTCGCTCGAAGCGTTACGACCTTTAAAGCGTGCTCTTGATTAGCGTGTATTGTGTGTTACGTGTCTTGTGCAAGATTTAAAGATAAATTGAGTTCTGGTAAGAAAAATTTAAAAAAATGAATTCTCACAGAATCAAACGAAACTTACACTGAATGTTCAAGATTACATATAAATGTCATTTGCCAAATAATTCTGGTAGAAAATGTATACTGGCTGAGTAATGAGCATAGAAAGATAAGGACATCAAGGTAAGTAGGCCCGACACCATTTGTGTAGTCCCATATACATCTTTCTGTGTACAGTGCTTGTTACTTCACCAAGACTGGGCCTAATTTATTATGAACTTGATGACTCGATAACCTTGCAGTACACACAAATACTTACATACTACATGATCAACTTTTTCTGATCCATTCCACACCTTTTCTTTCACGATGCAATCACATGACCAGAACTCAACTTTATCTTTAACAAGCGATTGCCATTTACAGAAATGACTCGCAAACCAGTGAAATTTTCACTTTTGCCTATAAAATTGAATAAACATCTCGTACATCATTTAATGAAGCGGTTGTGAGAATATTTATTATTTTATTTATTTGAACATATTTCATCAGGATAACAAGGTGAGAGAGGACTGGTTTACATCCTGGTCCTGAATTTTGAAAGCTTACACTAAAACATCAAAAATAAATTGATCATACAAAATAAATTGATCATAATTATGTAGTCAGAATTGTTAAAATACTCATGAAATCATGATACAAGAAATTAGCGACCACAATCTTGAGTAGAAACCAAGTAGAAATTACATAATTTTTACTTAAATATATAAAAACACAATAATTGAATGAATATGATTTATTCTTGATATAGATAAAGTTAATATCTCTTCAGGACTTTATTGATCAATCCAAGGAGTCAAAAAGATATAACTTCGTTTATCGAGAATAAATCATAAATTATTGTTATAATCATTTTATAAAAAGAGGTAAGAAAAAAGTTATTTTAGCTTGAAGTTAAACAGTGTATACATTGTAGGCTATACCATTATCATCTTTTTTTTCTTTTTTGAGTTAAAAAAAAGCAAACTTGTTTGTGTTTATAAATCTACTATGATGGCTGAAGAAGATGCAGACGGATATAATTGCAGAAAGATAGAACAGTTTGGCATACGAAAGGATAATAAAGGAAAATAAAACAAAGAAACAAATGCCCGTCTGAAACGCTTTTTATTCTATGGTTTGCAAACACGAGGGACGTGTGGTCATTTAATTAAGTTAACCGTGATAATGAAACCTATAATGACCCGCAAAAACGCTGCATAAACCATAATGTTAAATTCACTTCCATCTCGGTATTTGTGTATGAAAACAATACAAAAATACGAGAATCTAATAGGAACATGCAATGATATGATTTTCTGTTTCCATTTATTTTTGTTTTCATTTGGCGGTGTTTTAATTAATTTGAAACATTTTAATTCGATAATGGCGTTGTTATGGTCATAATCTCGTAAATGCAAGGGTCGTGTTGAATGAAAACCCAGATTTTGTACTAGATATCTCCCAAGGCTACATTATACAGAACCCATTTAGAAGCCGAAAATATGAATATGAATCGTTAGCTTTGGGAAACCTACATAATTAGGAATTCTATTTGTAACTCGGTAGAATGTGAAGTCATTTATCAAACTGTGTATGACGTAGATATCGCTAGTAACGCACAGATTTAATTACACAACTTGAGGTACGGTTAAAGCATATTGCTCCGTTTAGTCTCATTTCACAACGCCCCCTATCGTCAGAGCATGGTCAGAGTCAGCAGCCTAACATGTTAGCCTATGGACGTTTTTTTTAAAAAAAATCGTTAAAAATTCATTGTTTGTTTAAACGAAAAGCACATCCACCCCGACGTATGTTATCACTAGCTCTTTCATTGGAGCCCTCATGTCTCATTGACTTTTGAAAGTTCACCCACCGTAATTTTTCAAAATAGGTTGCAAGCTCGTTATTGCCTATAATACACATGTAAAACAAGTCTAACTTTGGACTCAGTATGCCAAGCGATTTGAAGATTATAGGTCGAGCACACGAAACATTAAAAGCATGAATTATCATAGATAACTTCTGCCTATTTCATTATGTCCATTTCATCCAACCCCCACCGTAATTTTTCAATTTAGTAAAAGCAAACATTTAGCCGAGGTAAGCAAAAACATGAATATTCATGACACACCATGGACTATTCGGTTATTAACAGAGGGGTACAATCGGTCATCACGTCAAACTCCCCTAATTGCCACCAAGTATTTCATATAATTATATAGTTTGGTATGTTTCTTTTACTCACTCATGAATTATTAAATATCAATGATGGTTTAAAGAAATGTAAAAGAAATTTTAGTTGATATTTATTAACAAAGTAATTTATATTTAGCAAAGCAATCTCACATACAAAATTACTATCAAGTGTCGTCTGCTACGTCGATTGTCGCCTGCTTCGTTAAAGGCACATATTTATCGTTTGGACTGTAAGGTATACCAGGGAGATTTGTATTTTCCTGCAGTACAACGTATAGCAGGAAAATATTGTATATGCGGATCCTTTTAATGATTACGTAATGGAAGTGGCGAGGCGGTATGGTTTGAATAACTTAGGCAGGTGAAAGTTATTGTATTGAGAAGGAAAGTAATGTTAAGAAAGGCATAGAGAGGGAAGTGGGCGTGGTAGCCATTCTAGCTTTGCACCTACATCAGTACGAGAATACACCCGACGGCGCGGTGGCATGTACTTATAGCGCGCGAACACATCACACCCAATGGCATACACCCGGTACCCTGCAACACAGTGGAACATTCTAAGAAATTAAAAAAATTATCTACAAAATGGACCTCTTGAATCATCTGAGAAGTAACTTACCCTATTCTGATTACTTCAATGAATGTCAAGATAACAATGGCTGCTTTTCCATCCAAAAATAAAACTAGTTTGCAATTAGAAATAGTCAATTTCTCGATAATTTCACAAAATATATTTGCCGCTGCATTCAATATGACGTCATTGACAGCTGATTGGCTAGTTGGGTAGTGACGTCGAACGAGCTATGTTAGTGCTGCAGTGATAGAGCGAGCGCAAATGAGACAATCGGAGCAATATGGGTGCTTCATGATGGGGCCTTGACATCCTTTAAAGGCAATATGTATTTACTTTTTTTGTTTAAATTGTGTTTCTTTTCTGTATTGTACTGTCACTTTTCCTTTCTTTTGATTGTTTTCTTTATTTCCTTTCCTTTCCGTTCTTGTATTTTCTTTTTTTTTCTATTCTTTTCATTTCTTTTCCTTCCTCTTATTTTGTTTTATTCCCCTTTTGTTCTTCTTCTCTTGTGTTGCCAAATGAAATTACATATTACAAAATACTAGTGTACGGCTAAGCAAGTCATGTGCAGGCCCTCCCTCAACCTTCGTCCCAAACATATATATTTGTTCACCTAACAATATTCATAGTATTGTAACGAACCAGTTCGCCACAATTTAAGTTATCTTGCAGAAAACGTAGTGGGCGCAGTAAGCTTTTGGGGCGTAAGGGCTCAGAGCGCGATTACGGACGCACCATGCGTAGGGCAGCTCTCAGAGCGTCTCAGAGGCTATAAATACCAGTATTTAACGGTAATTTCGTCACCTTGACGCTGGCCAAAGTGACAATAAGCCAGGGAAAGGCAAGGGTCACTTTCATAATCGCTGATGTATGCGGCGATGGAGTCTTGGGCATGGATAATCTTCTGTTGTTAGGAGCGAAGCTTGACTTGGAGACGGCTACTCTAGAGACCAAATGGGGATCAGTTCAGTGTCGCCATGAAGGCAATACCACATCCTGCTCCCGCATTGTAACTACGGAGATGCAGACTGTACCTGTAGGACGAGAGAGCCTTATTACAGGAAAGACGTCGCCACTGAGACAGAGGACGAAACAGATGGTGATCAACTGTTCCAAGCCGCTAGAAGCCTGCGTCAAGCTGGAGGCGGATGTAAGGTGACGCAGAAAACAAAACACATCATTCCGCCAGGGGTTACGATCACCTACCAATACGAGTCACTGCACCTGCCAGATGGAACAGTATACACTCGTATTGCCAGAAAAGAAAAGAGAAAGAACAATGAGCCAATGGATGCCTAGAAGGACAGTAAACGAACTAACTGTAAAAACAAAGATGAACTTTTAATAAAGCAACAGCTTTCAGGAGGAAACAAAAAGAGGCATCCTCATTGTTTATATTCATACATGTATCTACTTTTTAAAATCATTTTTATGTCGTAGTGTAAGCTATTCATTTGTTTGTAGAACACCACACCATTATCTTTTTGGAAAATTCAAGGATGTGTCATAATGCACAAATATTCATGAAAATAATTGGCATAGAAAGCACTCGCTGTAATGGTCATATTCAGAGTTAACGTCCATAGAATGAACATGTTTTTATATGAGAACTTCATAGAAAGATATAGAGAGCTTGATTGTTATATGCATATCAAAATTGGTCTTAACGAGGACGTAACTCTCAGTATGAATAGTACAGCGATGCAAAATTTAATACGTTTTAGTAATTGTAAATATTTTTGGAAACCCCTCGTATTAATCTGAGGGTGACAATGTGAGGACACATTCCTTGAAGAAGGGGGCTGTGTAACGAACCAGTTCGCCACAATTTAAGTTATCTTGCAGAAAACGTAGCGGGCGCAGTAAGCTTTTGGGGCGTAAGGGCTCAGAGCGCGATTACGGACGCACCATGCGTAAAACAGCTCTCAGAGCGTCTCAGAGGCTATAAATACCAGTATTTAACGGTAATTTCGTCACCTTGACGCTGGCTCTCGTCTTGGTCAGATAGCGAACTCTCCGCTTTGCTCCAGCTGAGCTAAAGTAAGGAAAAAGGATTGGAAGCGAGAAATAGAGTTCCTACAAAAGGCAATCTCTGCCTTTACTACTTGTTGAGATTAATCCAGGTAATCGGTGTCGGTGTTAACTATGATAACGTGTTGGAGATGTTGACTTATGTTTGTATTATTAAAGTATACAGTTAAACAATCCATCGTTTCATAACGTGCGATTAGTTGAGTCTCCATAGACTGACGTAATATAACCCTCTCATAGGGAATACACATCCACCTATCCCAAACACCTCTCATCTCCACACCCATATACTTTGGGAAAACGGAGCTACGTCCGGGCCTCTAAACTACAAGCCAAATAGAAACCGCTCGCATTATTCAAGATGGCAAATTCTTCGTCAGATGACGGTGATAGAGGCAAGGGACAGGCCAGCCCTCCTGCATCCAGGACCCGTTCTAAGATGGAGGGCCGTAACAGTATTTAAAAAAAATCAGGACCCCGTTGCACAAAACTTACCATTGTTGGTAAATTTGCCATCAATGGTATAACTACCATGGAACCCTTAATTTTGATTGGCTGTTGAGCCCTGTTACTATGGTACGTGCCATTGATGGCAAAGTTACCATCAATGGTAAGTTTTATGCAACGTCGGGGCCTAGGTGTGTGTCTTCACCAGTAGCCACAGATCAATAGTGCAATGACATTCAAATTACGTGTTGACATCGCCAAGAATTTCATATCAGGAATTTTCGACTATAATTCTTCAGACATTCGTTAAAAAATTGGTTCTCAGTTACTCAATGTACAGTAGCGGAATATGAGTGATAATAATAATTAACATAGTGGGTTCTTGCATAGCACTCATGCCTGTCAGACTTGACACTCCTGGCGCTTTGCAATTATTACCCCGGCTTTAAGCATGGATACCATTACGGCGCTCTAGCGTCAAGGATTTCATTCCTACCAGTAACGGATTAATTGAAAGAAAATACCGTATTCCTTTCACATGTACATCATGTAATCATGTAAAGAGCGTGTATGACAAGAACCTTTTTCTTGTAATTTAATACAATTGAATAATTTTTTTTTTAGCACACGATGCATCACTGCCTCGGGCTGGATTTCGCATTGTTACATACAATCAGAAAGAAATACACAGCTCCTTGCATCAAGTAAAATCATACATTAAAATATATATTTCAGGTATGAAACTTTTCATTGTTTATAAGGGCGTAATTTCGGGTAGATATATTATTAGCTGTACTATTTCAACTGGCAAGAAGATACTGCTATTTGATTTCCAAAAACTAAGGGAATGTGAAAATATAATTTGCATTAAAGATCACAGAGCACTTTCTTACCTTCACGCGTCCTCCGTAATAAAGGGATTGTGTAACTTTGCCTCAGATTCTGAAACAAAATCCTGGACTTAGCTAGATCATGCTGCAATGGTAATTATAAACCTTCAGGTCAATCAGGAACCCCGTGACTTTAACAAGCTGATCGCCTGTCTGATTATCAAGATATTTATGATTGGAAATCGAAATCAAATTTTCCTAACGGTTTTCATAACACTACAGTCTATGGGGGAAACGAGTATGGTAAAACCGGTCACTCAAAGATTTTTACTTTTTTTTGAGGCACTTCTTGGCCATTTTGAAGCGCAATTTTGTTAGGGCTTCAATATTACACCATATCACAGACACTGATAACACATAGGGCCGTGAATCTCAGATTTAACATTGTTAAACGATGCCTTTAATGAAATTGAAAAGTGGCCAGACGGACTTAAAATGATTATTCCGAAGCCTCAAGATTCTTTCAATCAACAATAATACATTTCTGGACGGAGGTTACACGACGGGAAGATGAGCGGTTTCACCCTTCGATACGGAAAGAATCTTGTACGTGTTGGGAGCAGCTGGCAGTTTTAAAACAGGAAACTTTTAGCTCTGTTCAAGCAATTACATCGTGTGAGAAACGGCCTGGAAAACTTGGCAAAGGTTTATTTTTCTCACATAATGTATTGGTGTATACTGTCGAGTTTGGAATCGCCACTATTTATACACTGAGCTGAGCTGCTGAAAGTCTTACTGAATATTACATTGGTTATAGCCTGAGTAAACGTTTATGTGACGTATTACCCGACGTATTAATATAGGGGAGAGATTGATACTTTTAAAGTCAAGAAATTATTAACATAAGCTTCAACGTATTTCTCTCTTATTTCGTAAATTTGTTAATCCCAGCAAATCCCACAATATCGTGAACGTTATTAAGTATGATACTAATTTTTCATTGCCCCTTTTCACATTTTATCTATTCAATTTACATTTTTACCCAGTGGGCAGGTGGGCTTTTTCTAATTGATAATTCTGATAACTCCCACCCCTTTTTATCTCATTCATTTTTTACACATTGGACGTTTGATTTTCCATCTTCACTGATGTGAATCTAAATGTGCTATTACCTAGGGACTTTGGCGCCTTTTTTTCCCGCGTAAACGTGTAGTCATCTTTTATTCAAACTCCATGCCGACGATGCGGCGGCATTTTGCTGGAGATTAGAGCCCCAGATCAGCTCTTCAGAAACGGTGTTTTCTCCACTAAAAGCACTACTTTCACTTGCAATCTTCAATTGATCATGAAAGTGGTTGAATCGTGTAAATATGTCTATAAAATGCTCAGATCTCTCGACTGTTGATGAGAGGCTTCAATACATTGGATACGTATGGATGCAAATGGATACGATATCACAAATTTAAAATCTCTCCCTCATTCTTTTTTTCTCTGTCTCTTTCTATATATATGTCTGTCTATCCTCTCTCACCTCTCTCTCTCTCTCTCTCTCTCTCTCTCTCTCTCTCTATCCCTCCCTCTCTATCTCTCTCTCTCTCTCTCTCTCTCTATATATATATATATATATATTATATTCCCACTTTAATTACGATTTCCCACTTTAATCATTATTTATAATCTCTCTATCTCTCTATCTCTCTCTACCCTCTCTCTCTCTCTCTCTCTCTCTCTGCATCTATCACTCTCTCCCTCACTCACCCTTTTCAACCTCCAACTCCCTATACCTCTGTAATCTTCACTAACTCTCTCTCTCTCTTCCCAATCTGTAGACAATCGACCTGATTCAGAAGAACTATACTACAATTATGTATTCACCACACGTCTCTCTCTCACCTACTGATACTCTCGAGTGCCGGACTTGAGGAAATTGGATAGACTTCTTCAAGTGTCACCCAACAAAAGGGCAACTTCCAGCGAGTTAAACGTAAATACAAGAACTATTTAATGAAGAATTCCTATCGTATGTTTAATTTAATTAGCCTGTACTCATTTGTTTATATTTACTACCCATTGTTTTTTTTCTTCTCTGTACTTTGTATTATTATCTGAGGACACTGGAGCCCAGCCTTTGAAAGGCCAATGGCCTCTGCTGGCTCCTCCATATTCTTTGTATTATTTATATTTATATATTTGCTTATATGTATAATGTATTGTTAAATGTATTTTTATACGAGAAATGGAAATAAAATGAACTTGAACTTAAAAAATGAACTTGAGTCCAGCTCAGAAAGCAGAGGCAACACCCAGGATATCTATCTCTACGTGCTTCAACTGAGGTAACGAATTTCCCATTTGCCAGTCGTTGTTTCATGTCAAGAACGTTATTTTTTATCAATATATGTATTTATCTATTATTTTATTTTATTAGTTATTGAAATATTTATTTGTTTATTTATTCATGTATCTATTCCAATAGTTAGTTAGTTGGCTAGTTAGTCGATCCTTAATAGTTAGTTATTTAGTCAATAAGTTAGTTAGATACTTTCTGACTGAGGTAGTTTCTTAGTTATTTGTTTGTTTATTAATCTAATTTGTTTATTTTTTTTCTTCATTCATTTATTATCTATTCACCCATAAATTCATTCGTCTATTTCTTCTTGTTGGATTCATCATTAATGTCACCATTGAGAGAAAGGGTGCAAATATTTATATTATTATGTTCGAAATCAAAATTATTGTTCATTAAAATGTATTGATTACCGGCTTGTTACATAAACGTATAGGGGTTTATGGCGCCGTGGCTCAGTGGTAGAGTACTGCAGTGGCCCCGGGTTCGAAACCAAGTAGATGCGTTAGTGCCCTTTGGTAAGGCATTGATCCTCCTTACCAAGTCCCTCGGAGAGAACGTAAAGCTGTCAGTCCCCTATTCTAAATATGGCATATATAACATCATACAAATCGGGACGGATTTTTATGCCGCATGTTCGTCTAGTCCCATATACATCTTTCTGTGTACAGTGCTTGTAACTTTACCGAGACTGGGCAACATTTCTTACCATTTTGATGATTCCAGGACCTTGCAGTACACACCAATACTTATATGTTAAATGATCAACCTTTTCTTATCGATTCCACAACGTTTATTTTACAATGCAATCGCATGGCAAGAACTCAACTTTATCTTTGACATAATAATTCATCGTGAAGAATAATACACCTACCTTTCTCTCCGTATTGAATTCCGTTGAGTGTTCATGGCCAATACCAATTTTGTTCCCTCTATTCTATATTCAATTTTTTTTCACCCAACACAAGACATGGGTAACTTTCTGATCATGTCTATGATTCGAAATTCTCACAATGCAAAACTCCTCTCGTCGGCTACATAAATAACATTCCTTAATGACTTGTATTCATTTTGTTTTAAAATGCAATCGCATCGCCATGAGGGTATTCAACATTGGTATTCATGTAGCCATTTTGGCGGGTATGAGCGCTCTAATATTGGTCCCATAAGATATACACGCATCCCTTCAGTATTCTTCATTTTTGTCTACTTAGTGTTTAAGATAAGTGTTAATACTGATCTTCTGGAACAGATGCATAATTGTACCACCGCCCCCCCTTCATCTCCCAAAACAAATGCATAATATCTCCTCTAAATCTGTCTCTGGAAGAAAATTAAAGGGGAATTATTTCCAAACTAGAACTTTGATTAAAAACAGTCGCACCGCATGATTACCGAATTATTTTTTGAAATGTCAAGGAAATACGGTAATCAGCATGACCAGAAAAGCGTCACTCAGACGTACAGCGAAGGATGGATAAAGAGAGAGAGAGAGAGAGAGAGAGAGAGGGGGGGGGGGAGAAAGGGGAGGGGGGGGGGGGAGAAAGAGAGATCAATGTGTCAAATAAATCGGCTCTATCGATTTTTGTTCAATTCATACTGGAAGGAGAGTAAGTACAAATGATAAGTTTCATAATATTCTCGATAATTTGAAGAGTATAATATGATTTTTTGTTTATTTCTTTTATGCTTCAAATATTCGTTAGTAGAGATTAAAATGTATAAATATTTGTTTTTCAATAATATTGTAGTCTTCTTACTTGTTTCTTTAAAACAAATTGCAGGGACTCGTTGTAAAGCAGTCTGCTTTGACAGATTGTGATTTTTACTTTGAATATAAAACGACAACAAAACAATACAATAATAATGAGCCCCCCTCCCCTCCGAGTTATACACACGCTACGTCACAGTATGAACCGACTTACATCAGACTCTGCAGGAGAGAAAAGTGCTGAGAGAGTTCATTTAATAATAGATCATCGGAGCACGGCTCCGTCAGCCTTCAAACGTATTTTCGCTTCATAATAACGGAACTTCGTTTGCTCGCGTTGCTATGGAAAGTCTGCAAGTGTGAAAGCGTGCTTAAGCCATTTTTATGTTTTTGTTTTAATCTACGTACGGATAGGAGGAAGTAACGGATGGAGTAATGCGACAAAGAATTATAGCAATATAAAAATATGTTATAACGATAAAAATAAATCGTACTTATATGACGCATATCACAATGTGTCTCTGTGCGCTGTAAGAAAGAGTAAGAAGGAAAGGTGGATAGAGTAACATAAGAAGAGTGAGGTATGCTCAACACACTTCCTCTCTCTTAACATTGGAAAGTATTTTTGAAAATAAATGTTTTCAGACGCGCCTTAAAGTTGTCAACAGTACCCCAAATGTTTAGAATTTCCGGTAGTTTATTCCAAAGTTCGGCAGATGCAACTTGAAAAGAGCGAGACCCGTATAATTTAGTACTTATTTCTGGAATGGTGAAGAGAGACTTTTCTCGCTTTATCCGCAAATTCTACTGCCTTTTTCTTCTTTTTGGAGAGAGAAGGAAGGAATGCAGAGCTTTGCTAGGATGATTGTGCACAGCGCTCACAATAAATACACCCATACCCACACCCACACATTGAAATGCATGCAACGTGTTAACCGAACGATTTATTCGCAAATTATACTGCTTTCTTTTCTTTTTGTCCAGAGAAGAAAGGAATGCAGAGCTTTTGCTCTGTTGATTGTGCACGGCGCTCATAATATTAGGTTTTCCCGGCCAATTTCGTAAAAGCAGCAATCAATTTCATTAACGTGCATTTCTGTTTGAGCAAAATTTCTCCACTCGTTGCTCCCCTGTTTCATTTTTAAACTTGTTGCATTCAATTTCGTTTCGAGTCACCGAATTTTCTAAACATGCA